TCTAGTATATTAATATTAATTTAGAAATTATACTTTATAAAGTTAGAAATTCTTTTAATACGGGCTATATTATAAATATAAAAGAATATATAAGGGGCCCCCTAACCCTTAATAAGAAGGAGTATATAATATGAGATTTAGCTACTTATACGGGCTAGTATTAAGAGGTCTTATATACGTTAGAGTGAGTATAGCTTGCTCTTTAAATAGCTAGAACTTAAAGGACTTTATACGGGAGAAGGTCGGGAGCTATTAATAAAAAAAAATAACGGTCGAGTTAGTTAATTATTATTTTAATTAGTAATTAGGTATAGAGCGCAATATACTCAGTTTTCCTTAATACGTAATATACGGTACGGCCCCGGCAGATTGCTCTATTAAGGGGGTTTTATATTTTATATTTATTAAGTTATAAGACATTTTTATAAATATTAATTAGTTTTAAAAAGAATTATAATTAAATAAACTCTACTTACGTAATTAACTAAATATATTATAAATTATATCTTATATTATAATTAGTATTACTTGAAACCTTAATAACTATTTATGCTTAGTAGCTAGTTAAGTAATAAACGTTCTTATTAAGTAGCTCTACTCTAGCGCTAATATCCGAAACGATCTCTAAGGACGGAGGTCCGGGCTCTAAGTCGTTAGGAAGGCGATCGTATATAGATATCTAATCTAGCTAAGGACAGCCGGTCTAGCTGAATTGCCGTGACTAATTACCGGTGCGGCCCCGCTAATCCGAGCACGTTCTCATGTATTTCATCGGCGACGGCGTCTAAGTCGGCTCCGACTCTTTAGTTCCGCCGCCAATTCCAAACAAATCGAACGTGAGTCGGGCAAAGTGGGGGATAATGCAAGCTGTCTCTAAAGTGCTGAGAAAGATCTAATCAGATTTACAATTATAAATCCGTGCGGCGGCCATCGCCGGTAGGCCGCTTGCGACACACTGTCAACTCGCATTTGACCCACAGCGCGAGTCTCGTAGTACGAGCCGAGCTCCGATTTCTTAGTAAAAGACAATCTGTTAAAGCCGGGTGTCCCTTCAACTGAAGCTTCGCACTCAATTGCTCCAGCTGCCAATCCACACATTTCTACCCCACGACTTCGGATATCTCAACTACTGCTCGATCAATCAAGATGCTGCAACCCTTGAAGAACGTTGTTGTCCTCGGAGGATCATATGTCGGTCTTGTAAGTGTCTCTTTGTACTTAGGGTGTTGTTTATAGAACAACTGCTAACAGCTCGCCGTGAGTCAGGCCGCTGTGGGCGAGCTTGCCGCTGCTCTGCCAGCATCCCACCGCGTGAGTGAACTCCGCAAAAACAACTTTGAAAAGAGTAACGACTGACTTGTAGCTGGCAGATTTTGCTGATTGAACCGCACAGCCACTTTCATCATCTCTTCGCATTTGTGAGTTGCCAGTATTGGCACTGCATCGTTATGATTTATGACTAAACCGTGATTCAGCCTCGTTTCGCAGTTCTGCCAGACCATGAGCATAAAGCCTTCATTCCATACACAGCAGCTTTCTCAAAGTCATCCGACCCATCGCGGCACCAGGTGATTCAAGCTCGCGCCAAATCTCTCGGCCCCAACTCCGTCATTCTGGATAGAGGATGGCAAGGTTCAGGTGAGATTCCATTCGACTATTTGGTTGTCACAACAGGCACCAGATTGCCAAGCCCAGGAACCATGCCCGGTGATGACAAGCCATCGTCGGTCGACACCTTGAGAGCGCATCAGCAGTCGGTTCAGAAGGCGTCTTCTGTCATTCTCATCGGAGGCGGCGCGGTGGGCGTCCAGATGGCTACGGATCTTAAGGAACTTTACCCTGAGAAGGAGGTGACTCTTGTTCATTCACGAGAGCATCTCATGCCTCTATACCACACCAAGTTGGATGAGATTATCAAGGCTCGATTCGAGGAGTTGGGGATCAAGTATGCTCATCAGCGTGACATCCTCGTCTCAATAGTAGTTGACATTTTACTTTAGGTTGATCACCGGCTCCCGCGCTGTGATTCCTTCCGGCGGTCTTGCCTCCCAGACTTCAGTCAAGCTGCAAGATGGTCGTGAACTCTCAGCGAATCTCATCATCCCCGCAACGGGGCAAACACCCAACAACCAGTTCCTCCAGGATCTCAAGCAGACTGGCGAGATCCCTCTTGTAAACCCGGCAAACGGCTTCATCAAAGTGCGACCGACACTGCAATTCCAAGACCCAGCATACCCGCACATGTTTGCTGCTGGTGACATTGCCGACTCTGGTGCGCACAAGGCTGCTCGGCCTGGCGCTGGACAAGCGAAGGTAGTCGCTCAGAACATTCTGGCTATGATCAACGGCCAAGAGCCGACAGAGCACATTGTAGTTACTCCGCCAGCAATTCATCTATCATTGGGACTGGTGAGGCCACACCCACGGGTAACTGTTGAAAAGAAGTCGCACTGACCGAGACCTCCTTTTTCCCCCGACATAGAAAAAGAACTTTGTGTTCAGAAACCCCGATGTTACAGCAGGACAGACTGAGCCAGCAGTCGTGCCGCGAGAAGAGTAAGTTACTACCGTTTCATGGCCAACCGCTACCGAGTACTGACTTCTATGCAGGGGAACAGCGGACATGAACATTGATGGCGTGTGGGAGCGAAGAGGTGTTCGTGTGACCGACCCTAGAGAGTACCACCTGTAATAATAGAAAGAGGGGAGGCCACCCACTGTTGTAAGAACCTGCAGAGAAAGACGGCAAGATATTCTGATGCACAATGCACCGGTCATTAGACAGACTTAGAGGCCGATCAAACAGTTGTCGCTAACCAGTATATGTCGACCAAAGAGAAAAGGCCAATCAAATAAAAGAGAAATCCTGTTCCAGACGTGTTTTCAAGCGGAGCCGATAACAAAGACGGGGGGTTGTTCAACAGATTCACTGTTCCGGGAACGGTTCCGACAAGTGTCGGAATAACGCCACAAGCTCAAACCTGGTCGATGTCCAGGCTAAGACTGCTAGTCAGCATCGTAAATACTCTCAAAATACCTGACTCTCCTATGTATCGCTAGAAATCTGATAAGTGTCAAATCGAACGAATTTGGGGTGACAAAGCCTGTTGTGTATACGAATCCTGCTTTATTAAATCGTTACTACGCATAGCCCCCCGCTAAATGTCTTCTCTTACTTCCCATCGCCGTCCTCATTTGTAAGATAAGGGTCTAGGCTATTCATAACTTCTTCATGTCCGAAGCATTCTACCAAGTCCCAGGCTATTTGGTAAGCACCTTATCCCTCTAGGGCGCCATCTTCCAACAACAGCTCGACTATTCCACCATGACCACTTTCAGCAGCTAACATCAAAGCGCTAAACATATGGCTTTGCCTGTTCTCATATGCCTGAGTCTCGTGTTGTAGAAAGATTTGTACCATATTGTACCTCCCAAGCTCGGCAGCCCATGCGAGAGGTCCGTCATTGGAGCAATATCCCCAGAGATCTGCACCATGAGCGAGCAACAGCTTTACCATTGCCTCGCTTTGACTCTCAAACGCAAGCATCAAGGGCTTAAGGTGTTCCCGATTCCTAACCAGTAAGTCACCCAGACATACACATTCGCCTACAAATATACGCGAATTCCTCACAGGATTTGATCAAACATCTACACAAGTCTAGTAAGGCTTTGACTTTGTTGACGAAGTACTGTGCCAATAACGAATTCTATCACCTGTTCGCCGTATTCTAGCATCGTGACATTCGCAATTCTCGCTTGACATAATGGCCTCAACTTGAAGTCACATTTATACCGCCGAGAATGGACTTTCATTCTTCCATCCTCAAGTACAATAGAGGTCAGCAAATCCAGCAAGTAAATCTACCATTATAACGCCTCATCTTACTTATTCATGGCATAAGATTATCCAGACATCATTTTTAGTAAGTTAAAATGCAAAATAACTGCACAAATGAGCATATTGCCAATACGGCCGGTTACTATCTATAAACTCTACGCCGAATCCGCTCGAAACTGCGCACTTTAGGACTCTAGAAACTCCGACCATTACTCCAGGCCACCCCAAGTCGATCGCGCGTAGAATGCTAAGCCCGCTGCCTGACAACAGTAGGATAATAATGAAGAGGCAAGGATGCAATTTCGGTGTGGCTAAAAGTATGTGGTTTGGCTTTTGCTAGAGCGGCTTATCAACTTAACACTGAGTGATGCTAATGAAGTTTTGCTTTGCATTACCCAGAGAGGGTGTCTCTTTCCGTGCATTCGGTGTAAATTTCCCCAATGAAGTTAAAGAACATTAGAGTTCGCCACGTCTCCACAAGAAAACCTATCCTGGACGTGGTCGTCAAGCTGCCTGCCCCTTCAGGTTACTGTCGTGGTAAAACTACCCCGTACTGAACAGGCGCTAGCATTCTATTCGGACTTATAAACTCTCACTTTGCAGGTACGGAAACGACCTAATCACTACCTTACTTGGCACGTCTACAGTGAGTAAGGCTGTTTGAAAAAACGTGGGGTATTAGGAACTTGAGCTACCTAGTCACTTAGAGGTTTTGTGTCATTACGTATCGGCTTTTAGGCTAAATAGATTGATCTGCGTGGATACGAGGTACTCCCGCAATTTTTACATCTATGTATTGTCGTGCGGGAGGACTGAGATGCATTTTACATGTAGGCTATCCTAAAATTCACGGAGATCTCCCTTTTACCCGCTTTAGTGTGAACCATTGCCGTCGTTTGGTTGAAGTTAAAACACAATTCTATTATCCTTGGTCATGTTGCTCACGCGCGCCAATACTATCATTCTCTGCTACTTTAAGTTGAATGACTGAACCGCACGAATGATGTTTCTAAAGTCATGCTTCATTTGAAAAAGTGCATATAGAGTGATCCTGATATTTATATTTCGCCGTCCACTTCTGTGGGAAACGAATCCCATTAAGTAACCAACGCGACTAGATCTAGAATCTTCATGATTAAGTACAAACATCGACACGTTCAGCATGATGTATTCTTCTAAGTACTGGGTCAATCTTTCTTTTTTACTGGCTCTAAGTCTCTCTCCTTTTGGCTCAGGAATCGTCAGAGCAGACAATCCGATCATCCAGACCGATTTCACAGCAGATCCGGCGCCGGTTGTCTACAATGACCGCGTCTACCTCTTCACCAGCCATGATCAGGATTCCGCAACCACTTGGTACAACATGAAAGATTGGCTGCTATTCTCGTCAGCAGATATGGTCAATTGGCAACATCATGGCTCACCAATGAGCCTTGAAACCTTCTCCTGGGCTACCGTAGACGCGTGGGCAGGGCAGGTAGTTGAACGCAACGGCAAATTCTACTACTACGTCCCCATCAACCGCGGCCCTACCTGGGCGACCTTCGCCATCGGAGTGGGTGTCAGCGACAAGATCGAAGGGCCGTATAAAGACGCTATCGGCGGTCCGCTTCTAGCCAACGGCCAATTCGACCCTACTGTCTACATCGACGATGATGGCCAGGCGTATCTTTATTGGGGCAATCCAGACTTATACTACGTCAAACTGAACGAGGACATGATTTCCTACAGCGGTGACATCGTCAAGGTACCCCTTACAACAGATGGCTTCGGCGATCGCGGTAACGGACAAACTATGTACCAGGAGGGGCCTTGGTTCTACAAGCAAAATGGCCTCTATTACATGGTCTACGCAGCCAAATGTTGCCCTGAGAACATCCAGTACTCGACTAGTCCAAGCCCGACTGGACCTTGGACCTACGGCGGTATTGCTATGGCTACTGGAGGAACGAGCGACACCAATCACGTGGGAATTGTAGAATTCAAGGGCAAGCAGTACTTTTTCTACCACAACGACGCCCTTCCCGGTGGTCAATCCTACAAGCGATCTGTCTGCGTCGAGAGTTTCAGTTATGGAGCGAATGGAACCATTCCGCAAATTCCGATGACATCCGAAGGTGCAGCACAGATTGGCTTCTTGGACCCTTTTGTCCGTCAAGAAGCCGAGACGATCGCCTTTTCGGAAGGCGTTGAGGCTCAAATCACTGCCTCTGGTGGCATTGCCGTTGCATTCATCAACAGTGGTGATTATATCAAGGTCAAGGGTGTTAACTTTGGCACTAGGGGCGCGAGCCAATTTCGTGCCGCTGTCTCATCTGCAACCAATGGCGGCCGCATTGAGTTGCGTCTTGACAGTCGCAGCGGACAATTGATTGGGACGTGTACCATTGGGAATACTGGGGGTTGGCAGACATGGTCAACTATCACATGCCCTGTGAGAAATGCGATTGGCAAACATGATCTTTTCTTTGATTACATTGGTAACGGCACTGAGTATCTGTTCAACGTCGATTGGTGGCAATTTTCGTAGTGCTTGAGTTGTCAAGACTCCTATTTAAGTAGGTAGCTATGTATTATGGGAGCTTGAAGCCCGATCCCGTCAAGGTCGATCTTTTGCGCCTATGAAGCCAGCCAAAATCCACTACATAGGAGATGCCAGTCCGCATTATATCTTCTTCAAGCCTACCCTTGTGTCTTCAATAACGCCAACATCATTTACAACTCAGTCGATGACACACGCCAGTCTATTCATGTATCATATTGGGGCTACCTCTGTTAGACAATCGCGACAACCTCTCTGTCCAGCGATTGAGCCAAGACCATCTCATAGTACATTCCCCGCCTCTGGAAAAGTTCCTCATGAGTGCCGTCCTCAGCAACTTGGCCTCTGTGCAGCACAAAAATTCGGTCGCAGCGCTGTATAGTCGACAGGCGATGAGCCACGGCAATAGTGGTCCGGCCAGGCTTCTCTCGCGCGACCGCCTCGATGGCAGCTTGTACCAGCACCTCGTTGGCGGTGTCTAGGGCGCTAGTGGCTTCATCAAAGAGCAACACCTCCGGCTCGCGGATTAGCGCTCGAGCGATTGCGAGACGTTGGCGCTGACCCCCGGAGAGAGCGACACCGCGGTTTCCGACGTCGGTCGCGTATCCGTCGGGCAAGCTGCTAATAAAATCATGCATGTTGGCCGAGCGGCACGCGCGCTCCACGCGATCATCTGCGTCGGGCGCCGCCGCTTCATCGTCTGGAAGACCAAGGAGAATGTTATCCCGGATGCTGCCCTGGAAGAGCGCGGTATCCTGCGACACAAGGCCGATGCGGGAGCGGTGAAATTGTACGTCCAAATCTCGGATAGTTGTGCCCTCAACGAGGAGCTGTCCAGAGTTGATGTCGTAAAATCGCTCTAGAAGGGCAACAATGGTACTTTTACCGCAGCCCGAGGCGCCTACGATGCCAACGGACTGGCCCCTAAGGATCTTGAGATTGAGACCGTGTAGTACAGAGCGATTTGGCCGGCTGGGGTATGCAAAGGTCACGTCGCGGAATTCGATGGCTACCCGGTTGTTCTCGCTCTCCGGCAATTCCTTGACGCCGGAGGAGGTATTGATGGGAGGCTGCGATATGCGCAAGTCAATGATGTGATTTGCCGCCGAATGTGCTCTCGAAACGTCTGTTACAAAGGTACCCGTTAGTATTCTAGTCTTTCACTGCCTGAAGAATCCGACTTGGGATGTGTGGCTTGATGAAGCAACTTACTCGACGAAAAGCCGAACAGAACGCCGCCCGATTGCGACCCCATAAGCACCGCCATGAAGACAATGAAGAATGTTCGCATATCGTAATGACCCTCAGACAACAGCTTTCCGCCATACCAGAAGGCCAGGCCCGTCACGGCCATGTTGATACTTTCAGCGAATGCGTGAACAACCATCGTAATCATCTTGCTACGTAGTTCCCGACTGGCACACTCATCAAGACGAGACTTGAAGCCGTTCAGAACCTTGTCTTCCAATGTCAAGCTAGAGACGGTACGAATGGCGCCGACAGCCTCGGATGCAAAACGAGCGCTTTCCAGGTACGTCTGTGTCAGGCGGTCCTCGTTGGCCATTTCGAGTCGCAGGCGGAAGAAACCGGCACCGAAAAGTGTCGGCATGCCGCCTGCAATGACGACCAGACCCAGACGCCATCCCATGGCGACTGCCAGAACAAAACACGAGACTATGTCAACAAATATGACGATAATAAGAGCGAGGTTGGTGGACAGCAAGTTTTGAAGCCGCTGAGGATGCAGGGAGAGTCGGCTAGTCATCTCGGACGCACCGTGGCCCGCGGTGTCAAAGAAAGAAACATCCTGCCGCAACATTGCGTCGAAATATCCCCGGCGGTAGAAGCGCGTGGTGTGGAACGATGCTATAGTCCAGAAGAACCCGACGCCGAGGTAGCACACAAAGACACCTAGGCTGAAAACGAAGTACATCAATGCCCAAAAGTTACCGCGCTCTACCAAGTAGTTGCCGGGAAGAAGCTGCAAAGTCGGGAGACTGGACCCGAAAAGGACTGCCTGCGCGGGGAATAGGCCACCACCAGCTGCCGAGGATAGGATGCCAAAGAGCCAGACTGGCCAGATGTGCCAGTGCTCCTTCCAGATGATAATTTTGAGGCACTCCGCGATGGAAAGCTTGCGAGAAACATCTGCGTCTTCGTCCTTGGTTTCGTGTTCAATCTCGACTGGTTCTGCGGCAGGATAAGATTGCCTGCTTGCAGATTTCGACAAGACCACCGGTTTGTCATCTGCACTGTCGACTGAGCTATCGTCCCGGTATGGAACTTCCGAGGGCTCGTATGTCTCTATACCCGCTTGTGCAGCTGCCGCCTCGCCTGTATGGAGTGTCTGAGCATTGACGAGCTCGTGGTACGCCCCCCTTAGATCAAGTAGCTGCTGATGGGTACCCTGCTCAACAACCTCGCCCCGACTCAGTACAACGATCTTGTCGGCCTTCTGGACCGTTGAAAGTTTGTGCGCAATCATGATTGTAGTCCGCTGCTTAGAGACATTGTCAAGGGAAGCTTGTACTTTTCTCTCTGCCGTAGGATCCAGGGCTGATGTAGCTTCGTCGAGCAAGAGGATCTGCGGGTTGGAGATGACACTCCGGGCAATGGCAACACGCTGCTTTTGCCCTCCACTCAACAAAGCGCCGCGTTCTCCAACCTTGGTGTCATACTTGTGCGGCAGCTCCTGGATAAACTCGTCCGCAAACGCCTGGATGCACGCTTGTCGGACAAGTTCTCTCTTCTCGGGCTCGGGGAGATCGTTCATGGGAGTTCCGTATAGTCCATGGACTACATTGTTGTAGATCGTGTCGCTGAAAAGGACTGGTTCTTGCTGAACAAGGCCGATCCTCCCACGCAACCATCGAAGGTCAAGGTCAGCAATTTCATGGCCGTCCAAGTGGATAGATCCGCTAGTTGGGTTGAACCACCGTTCGACCAGTGCAACAATCGTACTCTTTCCAGAACCAGACGCACCCACCAATGCCGTGACCTTTCCAGCCTCAAAGACTAGGCTGGCGTCACGCAAGACTTGAACAGAGGGCCTTGACGGATAGGCAAAGCTGATGTTGCGTAGCTCGACCAGGCCTTCACACTTGTCAGGCCGCTCACCGGTGTCGGCCAAGGGATCGATCTCGGACTTGCGATCAACCACCTCAAACATGCCCTGAGCGGCAGCTGAAGCCTTGGCAAAGTCACCGAACCCTGGGGCCACGTTGGAGGCAGCGTTTGTACCCAAAAGGACCGCGAGCAGCACTGAGATGATTTGCCCACCGCCACCGATCTCGCCGCTGTTGAGCAGCTTTACACCATAGAACCAGGCAAGGGAGTACGCACAGTAGATCGTGAAGAACTCCACACTCCACTGGACGCCGATGACGGGACCCTTGCGGAAGCCGAGCTTCTGCGCCCCTGCCAGGTAGTCGTCGTACTTGCGGCTCAGCTTCGCACTGGCATTGTAAGCCGTCACGATGCGGGTTGAACCCAGAGCCTCCTCAACCAGGCCACCGGCGCGGTTATATATCTCTAGGATCTTTGCCTCAATCTTGGCGTCTGATGGTGAATTCTGATTAGCGCTGAGCAATCAATGCAGGAGGACAGCACACTTACCGAGGCCAAAAGTGATTTTGAACCCGATGAAGAGAATGGGCAGCGAAGTAGCCGTGACAAGGGTAAGCTTCCACTGCCGCGTGAAGGCTACCACAAAAGCGGCAACGAACATGGACATGTTCTGGATTAGGCTGCCGACCTTCTCGGTGCTGCCGTTTTCCACCATGTCAGCGCTGTTTGAGATGGTGGACGCGACGGTGCCAGGCGCACAGGAGTCGATGAAGGAAACATCCTGTCGGACCATCGACCGGATGAAGTCGACGCGAAACGCCCTAGTCACACGAATGCCCACAAGACCGAAGCACGTGGAGTGCACGTAGACGAGAAAGAAGCGGCCGATGAAGAGATAGAGCAGCCAAAGGGCGTTCTTGGACATGTTGCGGTAGAGGTCCTGTCCCGAAATACTGCCATTTTCATAATCATTGAACTGATTCACAGAGGAGCCAAACACCACTGTCATCAGTGGAGGTAGGATACCGGAGGCGATAGCAGCAATTAGGCCGATGAGCCGGAGGGCGTGATCCAGCGATGTAGAGTAAGACCAGTGCACGCGGAAGAAGAAGTGGAGCGACCCGGGCTTCTTCCCTTTACTGTCTTTTGCTTTGCCATCGTGAATTTGGTCCTTGTCGCTTGTCCCATTGTCGACTTGGCCTAGTTCGCTGTTTTTGGAGTTGACGGCGGTGTCTGTCTTGGCGAGCGTGGCAGGGGGGGCCGACTTGTCTCCGAGGTCTGCCATCTAGGACGTTGACGTTCGCGCAAGTGCTTGCGACCGTTCTCGCCAAAAATTCTTGTGAACAAAATAGAGGACTTTTGCCGAATAAGGTTGGTCGGTAGAAGCCCAGTTGTTAGAAAAGAAATCCAACCACAGCCGTAGAGAAAACAGGTGGGAAAGGGAGTCGCGTGACGCCTATCGGAAAAGGGTTTTGTGGACAACTGAAAGGCGCCCAGACAGCCTAGATAAGAAGAGTTGGACGAGATGCATCACTGTAAAATGTGTAACGGCACAGTATCTTCGCTTACGATACATAAAGATGATTCATGTTCATACAGGAGACGACATCGCGAATGCGGAAGGTCATTTCGTATCCAGATGATGCAAACTTGTGGGTCTTTTGCAGCATGTAGGGGTCCTGGAGTCTAGATCAAGTCCAATCTTTGAGCATCACGTTTGATTAGCTCGGTAAAGGCTTGATCTACGGTTGGTGCTTATCTTGTTGGTTGTGTACTTGGCCCGTTGTCCGCACTGTGTTCGCCATAAACGGTGGTTCACTGTAACAGACACTCCGGGGTTGGAATATAATGTGTGTATGGGAGCTGACTTGGGACACGTGTACTCCGTATTCGTAGTCTAGACTCTAGAGTCTAGAACGCCG